TCACTCTTTTTTACAATTGGCGATCTTGCCTGAAATGTTTTTTTTATTTTTTATTTTTTCGTAGCAGATAGTTTCTCAGGTTTTTCTTTCTAGGTTTTTTCCAATAATATATTTGCTCATGGTGGCAGGTCAATATGTATTATCATATACTTCATACTTTATTAATTTTGTATATAATGTATTTCATTTACTACATATAATTAATAAAACCTTGAGGAAGACCTCACTTAGCATTTAAAAAAAATTAAATAAATTATTAGAAAAACATTGGTTTTTTAAAATTAAATAATATTTTTTTTAAAAATATATTTAAATGATAATAAGTTAATATATAATATATAACAATATATCTTTGTAACTTAAAATTGATTATATAATAAAAAACTGTTTTTATATTGTATTAATAAAGATTATAAGAAATATCTTATTGAATATGTTAAAAAATTTTTTTATTTATAAAATCTTGTTTCAATTTAAAAAATAACAAAAATTTTTTTTAATACTACACATATTTAATTTTTAATAAACTAGAATTGATTTTTGATTTTTTTATCAGAAATTTAATTTGATAATACAATAAATCTAAGATATTTTATAATTGTATAACTATTATTTGAATAATCTATAAATTTAAGATTATTATTTTTTAAAAAAAAACAATTTCAAAGTATTGAAATTTATTCTTTTTTTTTTTTTTTTAAGAATTATTAAAATTGTAAATATATTAAAAAAAATTTTTTTTTCATAAATATTTTATAACAAAATAGTTTAGTCAATGTTTACAATATGTTTAAAAACAAGTCTTTATAATAAACCCTGAGTATAATAAGTTTTCTAAATAATATATTAGCTCATTACAATGATATTTATATAAACAATAATTGCATATAATGAACTATTTTTCTGGAAAAATCATGAATCCATTATAAAAAGATTGGACTATCTATACAGTATATTAATAACAAGCTTTATTTTTTCGAACAATAAATTTTGATCAGATTAATTTGCATGTACCATGATTGATCAAAGGTTAATAGTAGTTCAAGTGGGAAAGTTCTTTTGAGAGTCGCTATATAATTAATTTCTCTATATTTTGAGTAATTTAATATTCTAGACAAAACCTAAGAGAACATTATGTTGCTTATTTTCCGACACAGTTTTCGGCAACCTATAATTAAAGGATTAATATTATTATTAGTATAATGCCAAAAGGATCTCGAGATTTTATCAAATATTGTTCACTCAAAATATAAATATGCAAAAATTTTTTAAATCGTAATAACAGTAGTCACTTATTATATAAACCGTGTAATATATTAATGATATTCCAAGGGTATCTTTATAAAGAAACCAAGGTTCGCTCACCCTTTTTTTAAACTAAATGTTATAGCAGATCTTGATGTAACAGACAATCTAGATCGAAATAGGAAACTAAGTTAAAATTTGAGTAATAAAATTTAATTACTTTTAGTTCACCTAACTCCCTAGAACCGTGAATGGAAAAAAAAATTGAAATAATGATCCTCAAGATTTTGGATTTCGTGTGCCTCGATTAAAGCCACTCGAATTTTCATTGTTAGGTGACCGAGGTTGTCTCAGGATATCGATGTTTTGTGAATACAGTCCTTCGGACGTAGCACCCTTCTCGGTAGTCAGTGGTTTACGAGAACGGATATCTTCCATCCTATTCTTTTTACCATTGTCACCCTGAAGGTCAACAACTTTCTCCTTTTGAATTTCGTTCCTTTCGCCATCATTAGCAATTTCAAATTCTGTAATGTTCTCGTGGGTGACATTGTTTTCTCCAAAAATTTTTTGTCTAGCTATCACATATTCAGCCTCACGATCAGCAAGTGATTTTTTGTGCTGAGCGCCGTTTGAGGACCCATTTGCATCATCAATACTGGGTGAATGTGTTGTGGTCGTGGAGCCTGGATTCTTTGGTCGTTTTAAAATATGTAGCTAATTTTATATAAAAAAAAATGTATACGCGTTCCATTAGTAATAATAAATTTGAAGTTAGAACCAGTGTCGGTCTTCACAATAAATACTTGAGGAACATATTCCGTTCGAGTTGAATTTGTACGGATGATTTCGGGCTGTGCAAAGGCATTTCTGTGAGTAAAAAAAGGTCATATTTATGTTATGCATAATTGGTAACTGTGCGCCCAACTTTATATTTCAGAAAATAAAACAAACTTTTCGCGTACGCTTCTTGCCATATTTGCTTATTTTTTTCATGATCGTCGGTAATTCTTCCAGGCTTTGGCTCTAACTAGCTAACAAGAATGTTGCAATTAACGTTCGCAGTCCTCTTTCAAACTGTAATAAAATGATTTCGAATAGTTTAAAAGAAAGGTTCATACATCGGCGTCAGCAGCAACTTCCCAGTCGTCCCAAGGTTCGTCCATTACGTTCAAGAGAGTACTTATGCGCTTATGCGATCTTATTAAGTAAAATTTATAGGATGGTATAAATCAAGTGATTTTCGTCATCTAATCAGGTGTAACCTGAGTCTTCAAGTACAATGACATTTTAAGGAATTAGCATAAATGCACAATGAATGTTTAAATTAAAGGATCGTATCAAGTTCTGGACAAAAAAGGCTATGATCTTATTTAGTGTAATCTTTTCACGTCATCACGAGTCTTGTGGCTTTATGAAAAAAATAACTAATATACAAGATGTCGTATTTCTTACAATCAATCCTTCAGAAGGTAATTTATCTCCATGGCAAGAATTAATAATATATATAATAACGTTTGATAATAAGCATCTACATAAAAAGTTCTAAAAATTAAAAATTCTTAAGTCGATCCAACACGAAGAATTCTAATAAAAGCATCTAATTCTTCGATGGTCATGTTCATGCTTTCAAGAAGAACAACGAATAATCCGCGATTGTCATCATTGGGATTAGGCGCAAAAATGTTTTCGCGAAGCTGTGGGATATCGACCGATAAGCTGATTATACGAAAATATGATGAGTAGAGAGACAACCAACCAAGAAATGGACCTAAACTCGACTGTCACTTACGCATATATAAACACCATACATAATATGTTGTTTTCTAAATTACTCCGCATGACTGATGTATTATCAAGTGTAAATGTGCTCATTAGTTCTATGAGTTCACTTTCGATGTTGACAGTAATCGAGAGTTGCGACTTTAGAAGGTAAAAGCTAAATAATGATAAACGTAAAGAAAAAAAAAAGCAAGAGCTAGATGTGTCAAAATGTTTATTCATCCGAGTTAATCGGACATAAAAGGTAACGATGTCACTTTGCTAAATGAGATACACGAACCATTCCATGACCTTCTCAGTGAATATTTGAATTCTTGTAATCATTATCTCGTTATCTTCCGGATTTCGATATGGTTCTTCCAGTACTACTTTCTGTTTTGTATCTGCATCATCTATATTGAGAAGGCCTAATTTCTTAAAGTAGAACCTCGTATACGAAGTTGTCATTCGATCCAGAGCTGTCCAGATTCTACCAAACAATGACATCTGCAAAACTTCTCTTCTTTTCTTTACAGGCGTGTTATTATGAGACTTCTTTGAATTACTTGATTTAGTAGGGGATTGTTCATTTTTAACCAAACTATTTTCTGTGTTGTCCGAGGGTGTCCTAAAAGGTTCTTTCGGTATCACATCTTGTTTCTTTAGAACTTGCTTTTGGGATTCATTTAACACGGTATCTTCTTGATCTTCAGTTTCAGAATATTGAAATCGACCATTCTTAAACATCGAATTAGCAATTGACATTGCTAACTCGTATTCTTCTTCTTCCGTTTTCAATTTTTCGTCCTCATTGTTGACACCTGTTTCTTTTGGCAACAAGAGTGTTGGGGATTTATTTTTTTCCGAGTCTCCAACTTTTTGAAAATCTATGCGATACCCTTCTATCGCATCATATGCGTGACCTTGACCAAACGTCATTATTGGCTCCTGGACATCCTTTTCTTTAATGCATAATCCCGGAGGCGCAGTTGGAAGATCGGTCATCAAGCTTTTCACATAATCTCTACGAGTATTTTTCTCGTCATTAAACCTTTTCGAATCCAATTCCTGTTTAACGATTTCCCTTAATGTTGCACGTGATAAATATGTCTGTGAAAAAATTGAGCCATTAAACTTAAAAAGAAAAGGAAAAAAAAAGCGAAAATCATCGATTACCTTACGTCGACACCAAGTGGAATTACTTCCACCGCTCTCCAAGCTTTTAGATCTCTGAGATATAAAGGCTCATCAGATAGTTGTGTAGCAAAAAATTTTGAAGAAGTGAAGCAAATCGTCGAACAATAACATTTCAATTCTGTCAAGTCATATATTATCCTTTCTCGATTCAATATCCGGAATTGTCCTTTAATCACCTGCGTCCAAACATAAATTGATTGATGAGTTAAAGTAGATACAATTCACAAATATATGTAATGGAAATAGTATTATGTACTTGTCGAGCATTGGAACAAAGGGGATACCCACACAAGTTATCAACGTTTCTTTCTTCAATGACCTCTAGGTACTGTTGCGGTCGTAGATATTTCGCCTGTGAGCGCAAGAAGTACGTAGGTCAGGCTTCGTGAATCAGGCAAAGAAACAAAATATCTTTACAGTCCATACCGATTCTTGCAATACATGGAGTTGAACGGTCTCGTAAAGTTTTTCTTGCCATTCCAAAGATAACTGCTCAAAGGCTTTGCGCGTCTCAAGGCTTTGTTTCAAAAGTTGTTGTTTTTGATTCAGCTTTTTCGATCTTCCCGAACTTGCCTGTTTTTCACCCGTTTTTTTCTTTGACCTTCGCTTTTTGGCATTGTGCTGCAATATAACCTCAGGCGCATGCTCGCTCATGGTCGAACGAATTATCGGATATGTACACGAATTTCCCACCTGAATCTTTTATGTCACATCGCAATCAACCACGTGACGTGTACCTATATCAACGTATGCAAAAATACCAGTTAAGAAATCCACAAGAATGACTACGAATAATTGGAGAATAGATTTTACCAGTCTTTCAGAACAATCTCGGTTAGTTTTGCCTTCTCACCTTCTTCTACCGAAACTTCTTTTCTTTTTCGTTTTTACTGACCTTGACTTTATAAATGAAGGCGACGCGAAGTTCGCGGTCAAACGGCCACCATTGATCCACCACTACCACCTGGATTCACAACTAGCACCCAAATTAGTGCTCCCTCCTCTTCAAAAGGAAGCTCGGTTTGTAGTTGGAAAGATGGAAACCTGTGAACGGGTCAATACCTTTTGTGCTTCAAGACTTATGCATCTCTCAATTTATAGAAAAACAAAAAGGATGTACAGCAAAACGACTCAGAAGATCGTGAAAATCTCAAGGTCAAGGTAAGCTTTTCTATTGCAGATTTACCTGATAAAGGTTATTTTTTTCGGTAGGTAACTAACGTTCTATGACACAGAAAGCCTTGGATGCGGCCCTTTCTCCAGGAAAGAATATACCCATGAACGCCTTCATGTTATGGATGAGTGGAAATGGAGTACAAATATTTAGCGTCATGATTACAGGAATGTTATTTTTTCAACCGATTAAGGCTTTGATGAGTATTGATAGTGGTAGGTTTGAGAAATAAAAGTAATTGAACCGATGCACATAATATACAACTGAGTGTCTCATGATAAATCTAGTATTCGAACGCTACGAATCACCAAAGAATAGGTCTCATCTGATTTGGCCAAAAATCGTATATGTGGCACTACAACTGCTCACAATGTCACTTGGATTATATAAATGTTTTTCTATGGGGTTGCTACCCACTGCAACTTCGGATTGGTTAGCATTCTTGGAACCAAAGCAGGTAAGCACCATTCATATATATTCAATAAATAATCTTGTTTGAACTTGAAATGTTTATTGTTACTTAATCTTAGGTTCTTGAATATTCTGCAATATAATAAACCTTATAAGAGGATAAACTTATATCTATGTATGCAATTGAGTTCAATATCAATGGTTGAGATCATTTTCACGCGATCGAATATTTACACGCGTAATTTTCAGTTAATCCCTGGATTAATTAAATAAGAATCCCCTTTATTACAGAGAATAAGTATGTAACTCTTCAGAACATCGAAAATTATCCCACCAAGCATACATCAAGTGATAAAATCAGTCTGCAATTAGCTCGGGTCCAACTTTTTTTAAAATATCCTCTGCTTGCTTTAACTCTTCGGTCCCGGACCATGATGGATCTTGCTTGCTCTATATTTAGTAGGAAACGTGTATTCTGTTAGCCTCTTCATCCGCGAATCCACTAAAAAAGTGTCTCCTACAAATCTTACAACTAAATCCTGTAACTCCTTGTAAGCCTTATTGAGACTTTTTCTGACTTCGTGGATCATTTGTTGTGACTCTTCTAACACTTCATTCTAAGAAATTAAATAATTGATTTCTACATAGTGAATTGCCTAAACTTTTGCGATTCCATTTGACTGACGAAATAAAACTAATACCTGCTTAGCAATATCATATGCGTCGGCGCCCTGCGCCGTGATATTCACGATCCGCTTTTTTTGATTCTCGACTTCTTTGTGATACGACTTTTCTTCATTGAAGAGACTTTTTTTAAGTTTGACACAAGTTAATTTTTGCGCACTAATCTCATGAACGGCAAAATTTTCAAATATAAAAAACTCGGTTGACACACCGAATAACGACACCGTTCTTTATCTTAAGTTCCCTGAGAGACATTTTTACTAAATCTCAAGTGACTCTTGATGTACAAAATTCAAATTTGTTAATTTGCAGATGACCAGCCAATCTGATTAACATTTGTACACATCATATATTATTAGATCCTTGATTCAACACTGATAAACGAGTAATGAGTAATGGTATAGGAAATGGTAAGATGATAACAAGGGGATTTTTCCAAGACGGCATCGAGTTTACATTACTTCGAGAAAGAGAGGGATACTTGAAATAGGCAAATTTCTTTGTGCATTGTATGTTTTATTATAATCTTTTTTTAAAAAAAACAAATTGTCAAACTTTGATAAAAAAAAATGCAGGCTTTAGATTCTTGTATATAATAATGCTTGAAATAATAGTAGATAAATAGAAAAAATTGAATAAATCTATTATTAATAAAAGTATTTTTTTCTTTTACAGTTTTAATTTATAGAATATACAGTATATAATTTACATTTAAATATTTTTAATATGAGTAATATATTTTTAAATTAAAATATCATTGAAGTAAAATTATTTTTTGATTTATTTTACTTTATAATAATATAAAAAAATTTTTTTTAATAATTTATATTGTATTATACTATATTTATTATATTATAATATATTTCAAATTTTTTGTTTCGATTTTTATTTATAAATTATTATTATTATTATTTCTATAATTAGAAAAAATAATTATGCATTAATATATTTAATTTGACTTATTTATTAATAGCTTAAGATCTTGAAATTATTGTAAGTAAAATATTTCTTATAATTTTTATTAACATATAATTTAATATTACATAATTAATATTAAAATATCAAAATATGTTATATATTATATATGTTAACTTATTATTTTTTATTTTGAAAAAAAAATTTTTAAACAAATATTAATACAAGATATTTATTAAAATTTAGTTTATTATTATTATATTATCAATCTTTTATATATAAAATAAAAAAATTAATTGTAACTAATTACAATTGTTTAATTAATATATATTGTTATCAAATAAATATTTATATATTAAAGATATTATATAGCTAATGTTTATTTAAAATAATAATACTATAATTCAAATAAAAAATTTTAATATGTACAATATGTTAATGATTTTTTGAAAAGTATTTAAAATTAATCAATTAATAATAAAAAAGTTAATAACTTTAATTTTTTTTTTTTTTTTTTTTTTTTTTTTTTTTTTTTTAAATCACAAATAGGCATTAAATGCGAGACATTTATTAAACAAAAGTTTATCGTCATTACATTAAC